TGGTGGTAGTGGATCAAGGGTAGGACATGATGATCTCCGAGGTCCTTTTCAACCTGGCTGACTCAATTATTCTATACTCTTTTAAATGGAATAGCTTTCGCTTTCTCTTGCAGAAATAGGAGGTAAAGCTGAAAGCAACAAGATGACCTCACTACTTTATCTGTAAATAGAAGATGTTGAACAAGTTTATCAAAACAAATTACACGGAACACTTCTAATCACTTGTTCAGGCTCTGCTAACAGATGTTGCAGTAGTGCATTTAAAACTAGAAATTTGAAACTTTTTTCTTTTCAAGTAAGATTACCATAGGGTAAATGTATCCAGAGTAGCAGTATGTTTTCAATAATACATCAATCCTTTAGAAAGTTTACAGTAAGAACAAGTTATTAGGTTTGCCTCCTAAGATATGTGTTGAGCAGAGTGTCAAGAGAAAGCTACTCCATTTAAATGATTGATATTTGGAGTACAATTCTGCCTGTAATTAAAATGAGCAGAACCATTCAAATTATAGTTAGAAATGGTTCTGTACTCAATTCCTCAAATGAAAGCATAGCTATCAGTGTAGGAAGGGAATTTTTCAACAGATGTTGTGGACATATCTTTGTAATATTGTAGTGGTTTCTTTTTCATCATCAGATTTTTTATTCAGGTTTGCTATTATTTTAATACCTAAGAGAATAGTTGTGACCAGCACCTTTTGTTCCAACAAAGAACATGAAGGAGATTTTGTTGTACACTCTATTGCTTATTACACATTCTATGGATTAGATATTTTACCATCTGTTTACAGAGGGAAGCAAACAAACAAGCAAAAATCAAACAAACAAAAACTTGGATGAAATTCTGGCTCACTGACAAAATTCCTGCTGACTTTATTAATGCTAAGATTTTACTCCTAACTCTCAAGAAGCATATGCTGTGTGAGTGCAGATAACACCCCAGAGCTGCCTCACAAAGTGGTCTCTGGTGTTGAAATACCCTGTGTAGAAGCACTGTCCTGTTCCTTGTGTTCAGTCCTCTTGAGAATTTTCAAGTGACATATAGTTTGAAAGTGTTGTTTTGCGGGCAGCAGTGCAGACAGCATGGTCAGACAGCTTTCTAGGAAATTAGTCTTTATCTCAAGAAAGAGAAATAATTTGGCCAAAGGATGTTCATTTCAAGTTGCCAGGAAGTGTGGTGACGTACTTTAACTCTATTGCAGCTCAGTTAGATCCAGTTGAGGAGTGGAAGGGTTTCCATGCTGGACCAAATCAGTGATATGGAGCTTTGAGTGGATCTTTATACTGGATGGAAGGAAGGTGATTTCATATCCAGCTATTTACAACCTAGCAAATGAAGATTTGCTATCTCCAGGGAGAGAATAAGCATAGTTTGGCAGTGGGAGTTTGCATGATCAGCATTTGAGGATGTGTCACCTTCTCAGAACTTAACCCACTGAGTATGGAAGTCTTTCTCCTTTTTCCCTTTTACAAATTTATGTTCCTGTCAAGCAGCTTTCTCTGATGTGTTTAATAGGAACACTGAATTGTCCATAATTTCGGAGTTTATAATTTTGTTTATCACTTTGGTTTCTTTTTAAACTCTTTGCTAATTACCTTGAGCTTTTTAATTTCTCCTCATATAGAAACTGTCCCTATGCTTTTGAGTTACTTCAGTTGCTCTTTTTAGAGTATTTTTGTATTTCTTTATGTGCTATTTATCTATGTACAACAATGAAGCCTCGTGGGTTCAAAAATCTAAGTGTCTTTGCCCTGTTCTCTTGCATGCCCAAAATGGGACTGAACTGAGACAGAAATTATAACAAGTGCGGACTCAAGATTAGACTTCTTTTGAGAGGGCTGAACTAATGGTACATTCTCTTGACAATTTAGAAGATTTTTGGTCATTACAAGATAAGTTTTTCTACTTCAGCCTGTATTAGTTACCAGGTTAGTCAGAATCCCATCCAATACGGCCTTGAACACTTCCAGGAATGGGGCATCAACAGCGTCTCTGGGCAACCTGTTTCAGTGTCTCACCATCCTCACAGTAAATAATTTCTTCCTAATATCTAATCTAAACATATCAACTTTCGGCTTAAAGCCATTCGCCCTTGTCCTATCACTTCATCCCAGTGCAAAAAGTCTCTCTCCCTCTTTCTTGCAGGCTCACTTCAGGTACTGGAATGCCTTCTCTTCTTCTGTTGCTAATCTAGAGCTAGTACACCTTTTCTTCTAGGAATATAAAGTATAATAAAATAAGGAAGGTGAATCACTTCAACTTCTCCCTTGAAATACAAATGATTTACTTAACAGTAGGGGACTCTGTACAAACTTTTTTCATCAACCTGCTGATGAAGAAATAGAGGAAATTTAAAAATGCTGCATATGCTCACTTGCCTCTTATTTCTTAGCTAGTAGTTATTGTCTTTCTCTTTGTTTCTATTTTTTTTATGTTTGCCTTCTGTCCAGGCAGTGGTCAAGAGTGAATAGATAATGGAAAGCAGAGTGTACCGTACATGACAAGCCCATGACGTTTTAACTGAGTTTGAAAGAACACCCTGAAACTTTACCAATCAAATGCTTCAGATGATTCCTGATAACCAGAAAATGAAGCTGAGAAGAAGTGAAAGTGACCTAGAAATATTCTCAATGTCCAAGGCAGGGGCTATGCCTTATTTGAGAGGGTTCTAATAGTGAAAACCTAATCCAGTCTTCACATTTCTTTCAAACACCTAGTATGCTATTTTGCGAGGCAATTTAGTACACAAAAATATGCTGTGTGGAAATCAGGATCTCGGCACTGTTTGTGCAAATAAAGTACACATTTAGATTATTGTGGGAGTGCAGCCAGGTCACTTGGGAGCAAGCACGCAAACCTCATGTTCAGCCTCCTGGCAGGAGCACTCGTGCCAGAAGCATGATTAATCCCAGCAAAGGAGGGTGTTTATGGGGTGTCACAGTCCTGGCGGAGAAGCCCCTTATGGATGCACATCAGGCAGCTGTGTTTGGACCCACATGCTGGATCCACGTGCTCCTCTGCTCCCCTGGGCCTGGGCAGGCTCCAAACGCCGACTGTGGCCCCAGCCTCTCAGCCCACTCCCCAGGCAGACTTTTATGCTTGTACCTGCTCTTTAAGCCCTCTTTTTGAGATCACTGCTGTACCACAGGGATTATTAAGTTTTTTTTGTACACTGGCCACATGCAGCTAGTTAACTAATGGCAGAGATTCAAAGCAGAAGAAATGTCTATGCACTGTTTTCTCTGCCCTGGGTCCTGGAGCATATCCTGAGTTTTGGATGGTGCCATATCAGTCCTATGTCCCCTCTCTTGCACCCTCATGCTCCAGCTTAGCCTTATCTTCCCAAGTTACACACTTATCTCTAACTCCTACAAGAAACTCCATCACTTTTTCAGAGCAAAAGTCTAAGTGCTCTTTGGCTTGAAAACCATTCCTTCATAGCATGATTCATCTCTCTTTTATCTTCAATACTGGTATGCTTTGACTTTATTCTGGGAGCTTTTCTGAACAGGTGTAAAATAAATCTTCTCTGTGTTAAGCATCACCTGTCTTTCTGTCCCTAAGGTGTTTCCACTTGAATGGAGGATGATTTGTGTTAAGGGTTCTTATTGGTCTCTGTTGCACTTCTTCATCTTCAATCTAGGAAGTACCTCACCCACTCCATATTCACAAAAGCTTGGTTCAGTGGTCTAGCAATTTCATAAAATTTACTAAATTTTGTCCTTCTCACTAAGAGAAATTTCACAAACTAGCAGACTCAGAGCATGAATTAGTGTCCTAGTGGATGGTCAGTCTTTTCACTCTGCAGGTTAGTGAAATTAAAACTGAATTCAGTGATAGAAATCATTATTAGTGTGTAGTTCAGAAAATATTTGTGATGTGGACCACCTTATGCTTTGATAAGTTTATTTCTGACTTTGCCTCTTATTTCATACCTCATACCTCTATTTCATAGCCACTTGAGGTTTATGAGTTTTTGTGTTTGTCTTTAGAGAGCTGTGTGGGCAATTTTACCACATTCTGTTCCTGCCTTTATACATGGAAGTCACTACAACTATCCTGCACCTAAACACTCCACTCAGGGTATTCAAAATATGCATCTAATTCCAGAATCTACAGCCTACTTGAGTATCTCTTAAGCACTAAGATATACTAGGATTTGTGTGCACTTATAATGTAACAGTGAGATATTCTTTATCCGGAGCTCCAGTAGGTTATAGTGTCGGTATCTCCATTACTGCTGAGGCAAGATTGTTTTGCTGCAGAGAAAGCAGCAGTTGCAAATCGGGCATGTAATTGAGCAGGCAAGGCATATAAAGGAGATAGTGTTTAAGTTCATTTGTCATGTTCCAAATGTTTCAGAACTTAAGAATTGAAATTGACTCCTCTTACAGAGCTGTTATCTTTTTAGTCCAGGCAGTGAACAATGTCAGCTCCTGTGCAGAATAAAGTAATGAAACTCATACTGCACCTGGAAACTATCCATAGTCTTTGCCTTTGTGAAATCCCTTTTTTCGACCTCGTGACCTCCAATATGCCACACACATTCACTCTGCCTATAGATACTCCTAAGGTCCTATTTCAAATTTTTTTTTTTTTTTTTTGTGGGCTATGTAATACCTATGCTGAATTGTTCTTCCCCATCCTCCTCTTCTACAGTTTCTATCTGAGTCTGAGCCAGCATTTCAATCCTCTCCACACATGGATCTCATCAACACAGGAGCAAAAATGATAGGAGAATGTCCGTTAGGTGAAGGGCTTTTCCAGAAAAAAAGGGGAGAGATCTGAATACTTGGCTTCCTCTAATGATGTGGGCAGGAATTCTGTCCAGCAATAGGGCAAATCCTGCTGGATCCTGTACATGCTGCCTCACATCTTTCCAGATCTGATATGTTACAATAGTATATTTGTGAGTTAAGATACTTGTTTCTTGTGTTCTATACTATGATTGGTATTTGTTTTTTCCTGTTATACTGCTAAGGATATTTTATTTTGTCAGGTCTGGGATGAAACTCTTGCCAAATCTGCAGAAGCTTGGGCTGCTACATGCATTTGGGACCATGGACCTTCCTACCTACTGAGATTCTTGGGCCAGAACCTGTCTGTAAGAACTGGAAGGTAAAAGGATACCCTACAGAACAATTATTTTGTCAGCCTTTGAACAATTTTTGAGATCCAGATTTTGTACTGATGCAAGTGTCATCTGCTATTCTATAGTGTAGATCCATCTATGTTCATTTGGCTTAAGAATATTATTGCTTAATACTTGCTCCTAGTGTTACTCTTTCTGTATTTTAAACAAACACAGGTATCGATCTATTCTCCAGCTGGTAAAGCCATGGTACGATGAGGTGAAGGATTATGCTTTCCCTTATCCTCAAGATTGCAATCCCAGGTGCCCCATGCGATGTTATGGACCCATGTGCACCCATTACACACAGGTTGTATAAATTACTTTCCTCTATTCAAAATATACTGTCCAAAGCTGAACTTTTCTATGATGTATTTATACCCCTCTCTCTCAAATAAATGTGTATATATATATATATGTATATTTCTTTTCAATTTGGACTTCACCAATAATAAATATTTATTCAGATGGTTTGGGCCACTTCCAATCGTATAGGCTGCGCAATCCACACGTGCCACAATATGAACGTCTGGGGATCTGTTTGGCGACGAGCTGTTTACTTGGTATGCAACTATGCCCCAAAGTGAGTTTCTTTCTTTTATTTTTGTTTATTTTTATACTTTGTGCATGTTTTATTCCTCTCATAGGACTGCTTAATCCTTTTTCTGCAGCATGACCTCTATTTGAAACTTTGATTTGGGCTGTTCCTTTATTCAAACTTTTCATCTGAACATAAAGAAATGTATGTGTACAAGAAAGAAAAGGAATCAACTTGATGTGTACGAAACAAAACGAAAAACTTGTTTTCTGTTGTTGCTGTTTATATTACTATAAAGACTTTTTCTTTGTCTTCCTTCTTTGCCTGACTCCACTTTACTTTGAATTCCCTATTTCTTCACTCTTTTATATATACACATGGTGAACTAGACTTCCTCAGGGAAGCAATTCCTCTGTAGATCAGGCTTTTGATTTACCAAGAGGTGGGCCTGTGCAAACCTCATGAAGTTCAGTAAGGCCAGATGCACCAGGCGTGAGGCAATCCCAGGCACAACTACAAGCTGAGTAGAGAATGGATTGAGAGCACCCCTGAGGAGAAGGACTTGTGGGTGTTTGTGGATGAAAAGCTCAATATGACTCATCAAGGCACACTTGTAGCCCAGAAAGCAAACCATATCCTAGGCTGCATCAAAAGAGGATTGACCAGCAGGTCAAGGGAGGTGATTCTCCCCTCTATTCTGTTCTCCACCTGGAGTGCTGCATCCAGCTCTGGAGTCCTCAGCACAATAAAGATGTGGATCTGTTAGAGCAGGTCCAGAAGAAAACCACTAAGTTGATCACAGGGCTGGAACACCTCTCTTATGAAGAAAGGCTGAGAGAATTGGGGCTGTTCAGCCTGGAGAAGAGAAGGCTCCAGGGAGACCTTCTATTAGTCTTCCAGTACCTGAAGGGGACTTGCAAGAAGTCTAAAGAGAGACTTATCACTAGGGCATGTAGTGATAGGACAAGAGGAAATGCCCTTAAGCTGAAGGAGGACAGGTTTAGGTTAGACATTAGGAAGAAATTCTTTGCTGTAAGGGTGGTGAGGCACTGGAACAGGTTGCCCGGAGAGGTTGTGGGCTCCCCATTGCTGGAGGTGTTCAAGATGGGGCTCTGAGCAACCTGGTTTAGTGAAAGGTTCCCTGCCCATGGCGGTGGGATTGGAACTAGATGATCTTTAAAGTTGCTTCCAACCCAAACTATTCTATGATTCATGAACAGTGAGGATACTTGCTGTTGTCCACAGGATACCTATGCTTATGACCATGCTGCATAATGGCATCCATAACATTGGTTCCACAAAAAGCCCATCAACCTAAGGCCCACGTCTACAAATCTATCTCATCTTACCTTCCATGTTAGGGTCTGTTAAAATACAGGTCATACACACACAAAGGTGGCTTTATATCCAGTAGCTTGCAGAGGTCTGTGTTTGGTTGAAATGAAGAAATAAATTTTCTCACAGCATTTCCTAGACATCATCTCAAGCTTACTCTGGGTGCAGAATGAGTCAGTATAGCTCGGAGAGATGTTCGATTTGCAGTCTGGTTTGGACCACTGTTTCAAAAGTAGCATGGACAGTTAAGTGACTGGTTTCTCTGACTGTATATTAGGCAAAGACATAGTTCTGTATAGGAATCTAAGTATAATTAGTTGAGCATGTTTTCCATAAACTCTTGGTGGCACAGGTCCATTTGTGGTAAAGAGTATGAAAGAGTATGTCATTATTCTAGCTGTTATATGAGTAAAAGAATTTTTAAACATTTTGTAAGATAGGATTTAGTAAGAAAACTTACTTGGGGAAAAAAAACCAGCTTTAGAAATCAAGGAGATTTCTCTGTCCTTTTTTCTTTAATATTTGCTAGAAAAGGGTGGTAAGAAATGAGTGTGAGGGAGCAAAGATTAAGCAGCAAAAACTGTATCTGACTTCTAGTTCCACAGTATGGACAAGGTGAAATCAAAGTTTACAAGAAAAACCAAAATATTATTTTTATATATCTCCATTTGAAAAAAAAAAATAAAAATTGCAAAGTTGGTAGAATACTCCTCTCATTTTCATGTATAGGAAGAAAATGGTTTTATACGTTAGGCATTGTTGAAAACTGATGCACTGCTTATGTATCAGTTATTACCAATGAGTTAGTGACATTTTGTATTTTATGAGTCTAAAAATCCCATTGCTTCTCAAACAACAAACCAAAGCCTGGAGTTACAAGTCTTTTCTCAGGGTGAGATTGTGAATAGACCTCTCCTTCATAGGTACTGGAATAATGATTTTCACATCTACTTCTTGCAAAGTCACAAAATTATATTGAGTGGTCTTGCTGGGATTAAGTTTGTATTTCTAAGATTTAGATAGGTTGAGTTAAGGACTTTGGGCTTAAAGTCCTTGGGCACCCAAACATAGGTCTCTTTACCAGTCAGTAGTCTGTGTCTAAGTAACCAGCACATTAGAACCTCCTCTACAGAATAAGGGGGTGAATATTACAGCCCCAGCCTGAGTTATTAAGATTAGAATTGAGCAAATATTTAGGATTTAGAATGCTAGTGATTTTCACTGATGCCATGCTGTAACACTGAAAAATATTTGTGCTTCTGAAATGAGGGGGAAAAAAATAAAGTTAAGGAGAATAATTGCAAAGTTTAGAAAGGCCCTACCCCAGGTTATCTAACAGTCTGACACAAATCAGCTATGTGTTGCATAGAAAATTAAGCAGAAAACAGTTTTCAGCAAATTCTTTCTGGATTTCCTTATCTGTTATCAAGATAAATATATTTCCTGAGCACTTAATCTGCTGTACCCATTTGGAAGAGAAATAGGAATGAGCAAATTATTTGGGATTCCTACTTTCTTCCAAAGCACAGCCCAGACCAGGGCTTTTGATCCAGTGTTATTGGCTGGGAGGTGGGGACTGACAAAATGTTTCATAAATAATTGCATTACTCACTGCTATTCCATGTCACATGCAAACTAAAGGAAAGTTCTCTGCTCTGTGAGACATAACACTGAAATAAAAATCTAATTTTAACTTTCTGCCTATGTCATGAGTGTTACATGAATCTCTAAAAGCTTGTGGTTTATATAAACTCCTTAAAGTCTGGATGTGTTTTTCAGATGTTCATGGATGTGTCAGAGTTACCTCTTTTCATATGATCACTCTCCAGACTTTTTACCCCTTTCCCTTTAAGGTGTACTACACAGCTCTGTTCATCAGACAGGAGTCCTCCTTCTCCTCTCATTAGCACCTATGACACCCCTGAAAACACCCAAATTCAGTTCTTTTTAATACATTACTGGTGCAAATAGTTTTTATTTTCTCTTTTCTTGAACCATGAATTCAACATCAGAGCTTCACAGTGTGGACCTAGGATAGTGTAACCTAAGAGTAAGATTTAACGAGTTTGTTTTTCCATCCTCCAAGTGCAAGCTGTTAAGATAACTGCTAGACAAAATGGTGCTCAAGGAAAACCTTGCACCAATGGTTATTTTGCTAATTTTTCATAAATATAACCCTCTAGTAAAAAAGTACTCTTGCCCCAGGATCAGAGAGTCAAAAATCGCTTGGCTGTAGCAAAAGCAAGAAGACTAGGACCTCACTGTAGAGAGTAAAGGACATGACATAGATGTCACTGGCCTGGAGTGACATGGCATTCTCCTGCTGTTTTTTGGTTTGCTTGTCAGTAAACTACAGAAATAAATTAATATTGTGTTTTTAGTAACAGACCATTTATAGGATATCAATGAAGACGTGAACTTTAGTCACTCGAAACAAGTATGTTTAATGATTTTTTTTTCTTCCACTCTGACATTGCTAAACATTCTTTTTCTTTTTTGTTTTCAGGGGGAATTGGATTGGAGAAGCACCTTATAAAGTAGGAGTCCCATGTTCAGCTTGTCCTCCAAGCTATGGAGGTTCTTGTACCGACAATCTTTGTTTCCCAGGAGTAACATCAAACTACTTGTACTGGTTTAAATAAGTTAAGGTTTACATTATTTTGAAGAAAACCACAGATGAGTAACAAGAAGCTTGTATATTGAATTTTGCACATATTTTATATAGAGAGATATTGTAATAATACTCTGATGTTTTCTTTTTGTATGCTTTTGTATAATTAGCTTTCGAAGTATAGTATAATTTGGTTTTAACACTTCGGGATTTAAGACTCACATTGTCCCTTTTAGATTAGCCTTTTGTTCAAGGAGAGAAAATCTTCATCTTAGCAAGTGTAGCTTCCTGAACACATCAAAATATAGAATATTACTTCACTTTTAAAAATAATAGCTCCAGAAAGAGAAGGGTCATTGTTTAATACTGTGCTTTAAAATTGGAGTGTGACATGCAAAGCAACAAATGGTCCTCACATTCCCAGTGATTCCTCCCGTTTACACCTGTGCTTCCACCTGCAATGTCAATGGGACACTGAGCAGAGAAATACATATGTGCAAGAGAAACTGCGGGTTGTTACCTACCTCATGCACAGCGTCAATTGGTTTATGGCGTTTCAAGAGTTCAGCACACAGCTGCTGCTATCGTCAATGATGTCTGTGTGCAGACAGAAATATTAGGGAGAATGGGGAACCACACTGGCCAAGATGCAGTGACTGTTAACTCACAAGCCTAAAATCATATCTAGATAGAAAGCTACATCATTTTAAGTATACTGGCATAACAGCTCAGCTTGAATATACCTTCTTGTATTTCTGAACACAGTCATGATGCTTATAAGGTTCTTTGCAGGAGTATATTTATTCTTGCACAGAAAAGCAAAGAAATATATTGCTACAAAGCAACGTACATCAATACATGACATCCATACTGGTTTTTACACGACCAGTTTGCCAGTATATGTGTTATCCCCCTGACTGAAACACAGTTAAGAACCAGGAAAGATCAGACCTAAAAGAAGGTAAGAAGATTTGTAAATAAAAGTCATCAGGAAATTTCAAAAGTTCATATAAATTTCTTACCAAACAAATTTCTAAAGCAATTGGCAGTGTCCTTTAAAATATATTTTGCTGTTTCCTGAAAATATCTCTGTGAATTATTAAAAACCAAATCTGCCAAAAACTTTCCTGCCAAAACCTGAACACATTATTGGTGCTTACTAGAACATTTATAAAGAGGGCCTACACATTAAGCTAGAATATTATACAGCTACTTTACTAGAAAAAAAGGTTATAGAAAGGAAGAAGTTGAACGTCAGCCACAACTACTATGTCATTGAAATAGCCATGAGTTTGGGGTTTGTGTTAGAGGGTAGAATGTACTCCACTTTAAGTATACGTTTAGTAGCATGTAGCATGTTTACTGCTTGCACTGCTACATTTAGACCTCTGAAATTTATGAACTTTGAAACACAATACTGAGTAGAGCAAGTGGAACAACAGAGGATAACTTCACTAGTTCTACATATGTATGTATCTCTAAGTCACTAATTCAGTCTTTTGAGGGTATTTGAAACAGTCTGTCACCAGAGTAGGAAATAACATATTGGTGATATGAAAGAAAGATCAGAGTTTGAATTCTTCACATTATTCTTTTTCTCGAGCAAGATATCTGAAATGGGGGGAATGGGCTCTATAGTGTGTGAAACATAGCAGCCCCTCTCTATCTGTCCATAATCTGATCCCTCAGAGAACATCAGATGCTGATCTATGGCTCTTCAGACGTTTCTGGTTAGTGACCCTTCTGCATTTGACAGGACAACAACTTGACGGGTATATTGCCTTTAAATGTGTCCATGTTCTAAAAGAATAACACTTCTAATATTCTATTAACATTTATCATAACGGTTACAATATAAACATTTTTCCCTGTGTTTTCAAAGGGGTTTGGACTTGGACAGTGCTCAGTCAGTCGAGTACTTCGGCTGAGTAAAATCCAGTCCTGTTTCAGGAGTGAAAGACAACCTCTTTGTATCATCTACGTACACACTGAAACAATTCAGTGAAACAAAACTACTTGGTGGGTCACTAGCCCTCAGCCAGCACAATTTTTGACAAAATGTGTGTGACAAATGCATTTTTTTTCTGCATAAGGAACCTTCTATAGAGGTAAGACAGCATAGTTAAAACAGTGCCTCTAGCCATTTTTAGTATTTTTATTCTTTTTTTTTTTTTTAAAAAGCAGAACATAAGAAAAAGTTCAGGTTAAGCCGTGGAGCCTACAACAGTAGGTCTAACAATAAATGACTATGCACTTTGAAACTTGCAACTTGCATGTTGTATGGTACACTTTCCAAACAGGACTAGACATTGTAAATTAATTTATAATTCTGTAATTCAGCTGAAATTATTATCACGGGTATATGTGTTATCGTATCTGTTACTTTTTAAGTTGCTACAAATACCTTGATTTTGTGTAATATTTTGTTTTCTGTGGATATAGAAAACTTTGCTTTTAACAAACAGGTATGCAGGTTTTTCACAACATCCCATAATGGTGCTAGGGATTAACTATAGTAAATCACACTGTAATTGACAGCAGCAAAAAATGATATGGATATAAGCTATTTCATAGGAGCAGCTCCTGATAAAACCAGTCACAAGCACTCAAGCATTAACTTAATATTTTTCATTGAACAGAGAGGATTACAGCTCATTAGATATTTGATTATCACATGAAATTTCACCTTCAGTTGTCTTTGGCAGCCCTAATACATGCTGAAGAAAGTGCTTGATGAGTTCAAGGCCATGCTAAGGCAAACTACCCCAGTTGTTATTCTGATGGCCCTGAAGGACTAATTTCTTCTCAGCAAAGGGGTGTGCCTTTAAAGACAGAGAAATTAGCTCAGACTTCTGTTCTGAATATAAAATTATAAAAGTACATACAGACTAAAATAAGGCAAAAAATATTTTTGGTCAAAATACTTTGAGAGACGTAAGAGTAAAATCTGGAGTAATTGATATAATTAATTACTGAGTGCAGCTGCTTATGATATCTGCTTGTGACTTTCTGCCTCATTTAAACATCTAAGATGATGGGTAGCAATTGATACCTTTTGGTGCTAACCTCTATGTTCTGGTGCTGAAGTTACAGATATTTTTGTGTGTGTGTGTGGAAAATGGGGTTCTCTTCCAATATGACCATATGCACTCCAGTGTTTGTGAGATCTTTTTCAGCTAAGTATATAATTTACCAGTAGGCCAGATTTGCTTTCAAAGTTCCTTTTTTTGGTTGTTTCAGGCTCTAATAAGAGTTTTATGTGCATCAGATAGGTAAATGTATTCGAGTTCAAAACCAAAACAAACAACACTCTCATCACAACAGGCAAGTGCCTGTGGAACAAATTATTGAGAGAGTAAGACCTCTGACAGTCATGACCTATTGATGCTGAACAAGTTTTAGTGATTCCAGATCCTCTCTGTGGAAAATAAATGACTTCAGAAAATCTGGGCTTGACCTTGGACACTAATCCTTGGGATCTGTTCCCTGAGATCATTTTGTTTCCCTCTGAATTTTAGATGAGTTAGATCAGGTCTCAGCGAAAACCATAGGAGGTGTAATATAACTTTTGAGACCTTTATGACCAGCAAAATTAGACTTCACGTGCCATCCGCTATCAACATTGGGTAATACCATGAGGCTCTGAAAGAGGAAACTTCCAGGGCAGAAGTGCTGTGTACCTCAGCTCTGATCAAACAGAAAGACATATATCTGTATCTATATCCATGTCTATGTCTGTAGATAGACGGATAGATATGTAGATAGATCTCTTAATATAGTCTCTCCAAGGACCAGGTTGAAAGCATGGATGCCCTCTTGTGGTTGAGAATTCTTCTATGTCAGCTTGATTACATTGGAATCCAAGAGGTTTCCGGATTTTTTAAAAACAAATGCAAATTTAAATTTTTCAGCCTTCATTCTAAAGACACATGACTTAGTGTGTTTGTTTCCTTTGAGAAATGAGGTGCAGTGCAAAATTCTTCCATTTCTTAGTTTTATGTGTTTTGTAAGTATGGAACTCACAGTTGTATTTCCTGTTGGTTTCCCATTGTAAAAAGTTTTATGACTATGAGGTAAAACAGAGGTATTCAGATCTCAGAAGAATTTTTAGAAGCATTAAATCAGATATAGTTCTTAAAAAACAGGGTGTGGAAAGCCTCATTACTCAGATGCTAAATTCTAACAATCCCTAATAAAATTTTAAAGGTCCAAACTACTGTTGTGATCTCCCCATTATTGCTAAATTTTCAAGACAAAACTCTTGGTTTCCTTCTCTAGAAGGAAATGATCTTGGAATCCAAGCACACAACATTTTTATGGTGAATTTTAAAACTGTGCAAAATAGAAAACTTGTATGCTCTGGTTCTCAGCTCATACATTGGTTTGATGGTCTAAAAGTGCACAGACCTTGTTTAAATTCATATGAAGAATGTTGAACTTCTGACTACAGTAGCCTGAAATAACAACAGCCCTCTCAAACTGCTTTCTTTCAATAGGAAATAATTGAAAAATCAGGAAAAAAATCAGTGTCTCAAATCAGTGACTCATCTGATTAATGCAACAGATGGGCAACAGCCTATCTGGTTGATTCAGGAAATGATAAACAAAATTAATTACTATTGGTAATTTTAATACTTCCTTGCTGCTTAGACTTCATTTACTGAGTTTCCCTCGGGATAGAGTTATTTTCTGTTAGAGAAGATTTTTTTGCTCATATTACAAAGCAATACATTTTTAAATTGGCACAAGCCAGTGGAAAAATAGAAACTTTTGATAGTCATCTACACTCTGTAGAGCCCCTCTGAGTTTGATGTGTGAGAAATCCAGATTAAAATGGTTGCAATTGAGTATTATCTCCTTGTCTTCTGCCAAAAGACAAAATTCAGAGTGGAAAGTGTTTTTGGCATATTGTAAATTCTTTAAAATCCCTCATACTGACAAATTCATATAAATTACGATCAAGGTTATTTTGCCCAGTAGGAAAGAGGGGAAATATCTCTCAGGTTGCATGTTTGGCGCACAGCAGCAATTGCCATTCAAATCACTGGGCTGTTCATCATGCTGCTGACTCACTACAGCTTCAATAGATCATCATTTAGTCAGAAAGTATCTTAGATGTGATGTTTGAAGTAATAAAATTGTTCCTTAAGAGTGAATGGTAATATTGGAATCTAATAGCTCTGAGGAGTTAAAAAGCTTTGTTTCATGTAGGGTGCTCTTACGTAATTGAAATGGTGCTTAAAGGCAAGTTTCATTTAAGAAGCAGAAGCTTCTGAGGATTGGCAAATTATTA